AGGGCAGGTTCTAAGCCCTGTCTTTGAAGCGATATTTTTTTATCAAATTTAGACACATTTCCTGGGCAAAAATTTGGCATACATAAAGTCGACAGTTCTCTGTACCTCTCGATCTTTTTCTTTTGCAAAGATATACTTCTGAAGTGGGAGCCGGGATAGCTCAGTCGGTATAGCGACTGGCTACGACGAAGGACGACCGAAGGGTAGGAGTTTGAATGCCGGTAAGGTCAAGAGTTTTTTCTTCTCCATGTCCAGACGGGCTCTGGGGCCCACTCAGCCTCCTATACAGTGGGTACCGGGGGCTCTTTCCCCGGGGGTAAAGCAGTATGGGCGTCAATCTGATCACTCACTTCAATTAGTGCCAAGGTCAAGAAATTGTGGATCTTTACATACACTCCCCCATACGCCTTCATGGCGTAGTGTTTAATTAGTTAAGCAAAGGGACGTCACTTTTTTACTTCTAAAGTACAACGGTTTCTTGAAAATTATTAAAAATATATTTCAAAAAAATGGCAGTAACAAAGCCTCAGCACCTTTTACATCTATCTCACACTGGCTGCCACTCCCCTACACCATCCAGGTTATTAACCTTGAAAATGGCGACTGCTATGCTTGTCGAAATGTTGAAAAACCTTCTTTATGATACGGAACTTATTACCGGCAGCCGAACTCACACATTAAGGTCCAGTCATGGAAACCAAAGGACAACAATAAAATAAGCATACCGCGAAATTCTTTAAGCATTATTAAACAGAACTGTCCTAAGACAGATACAGTAATAATTCCTTTCACATTACACCAAAAGTCCGTACCAAGGATGGTTACAAATACAGTTAAATCAGAAATCAACAGCCCCCTGGGGGAAACAGAAATTGTGGAAACCCTCCGAGGAGATGGTTGGATCAGACAGAAGTAATTACACGGTTTGGAGTCTACTCGTCCCGACTGAACTCCTAAGTCTGGTCAGATTGACTCTTCATACTGAAGTAAATGCCTTCATTAGATACAGCAATAAGCAGGCAGTACCATTTCCACAAAACTTGATTCTGTCTCCCCTCAAATAAGATACAATTAGCATGACTGCAGTTTCCAGATATTTCCGCCATATATAAAATCAACTGTACGACTTAGGTTGGCATGTAGGATATTGGTGGGAAAGCCAAAAAGAAAAAGACAACTAGGAAGACCAAGACGTACTTGGATGGTTAAGATTAAAATGGATCTTAGAGAGACAGGATGGGGTGGTATAGACCGGAATGATCTGGCTCAGGATAAGGACAAGTGGCAGGTTCTTGCGAACACGGTAATGAAGCTTCGCGTTCCGTAAAATTTTGGTAAGTCTGACTAGTTACGTAACTGGCAGCTTCCCAAGAAGGATTCAGCTCCATGAAGTTACTTGTGATTTCCGCTTTCGAGAATAAGCAGCGTAGAATTCTGAAAGCTTCCCAACGTTTCGACAAATACTGCAGTTGCCATCTGCAAGATTAGTGCCTTCGGGGAAGGAATTTCGGAAGCCTTGCAAACTGGTTCTAAGTCCATTGATAATCAAGTGATTATCTGGTGGTTTGGGATAAAACGTCACAGCAGTAGCATTCTGTTTGTTAAACGACGTTAAGACTGAAAATCACCCGAGTATGTCCATCAACACAAATTCTTGCGAACACTGCAACTTAAATCGACTTAACAGAATAAAGTATTCTGAAATCTTACGGTTGCAAGCAAAGTAAACATTGAAGATAGCGCAACATAATACATGGAAAGAGATAAGTGCATAACCCCATTTGAGGGAACAGCACGATACTGCGGTGCCCGTACTTCGTGCAGTGGCACTGTCTCCTGTGCACATCGCCCACGGCAGTTACAACGTGCGGCTGGAGAAATGCCACTTCCGTCTCCGCTGCGTCTGTCTGCACAGAACTCAACAGCCACTGACCGGACTTCCATGAGCAGGGAAATATCAACCGATATAGACTATGTTCTGAGCTTGATGGCCGAGGTATCGGGGTTCGATTCACGGAAAGGAGATATTTCTCTTTTCTCCATAGCGTCCACACCGGCTCTCAACTCTCTGACCCACGAGTACCGCGAGCTGCTTCCCTGGGGAAAAAGCAGCAAGTGCCGAGATTACGAATGCATGGAGTAATACCTCCATTCCTCCTCCCGTCTTCTTGGCGTGGTATTTAATTAAGCGCAAGGATAACTTCACGTTAACTTGCTTCTCCACCTATTCCAACTTTTGGTAAAGGCACTTCCGTTTTTGAGCTACTCTCAAGAGTAAATATGGCGTTAACTTAACAGTTAAAGCCAAAATATGTTCTAACAAACGTTGTGAAGGAAACCGAAACACGTATTTTTCGCACCACAGACTTTTCCATAAGTCTCACGGTTTTCCAGATACGTCGTCCAACAATTTGGACGATATGGCTACCGCCCACCCGTCCAACCTCTTACACGCTACTAACAGAGCATCAAATTCTTGCATTCACGGATTGAAAATCGGGCAGCAGTAACGCAATCATCGTGCAAAAATCGTTACACTGAGTATGGTTCCTAACTTGCTACACCTTCAACATTCTTCCTCTTGACAATAAGTTGCAGACATTCGTACTAACCCCTGATAACAACCCTTAACGATTATATCTTCTGTGATATAAATAAAGCTGTGTAAAACTAAGTAAAGTAAAGCTACCCCTGTTCCAGGCCGTGAAGGCCCAAAGGGTTGTGAGACGTTAAAGGTCCCACATTATCTAGACAATCGGCTCAAAGATGGCGGTAAGGTTGTCAGCCTTACGCGCCGGCCGCGCTTTACTCCCCAGGAAAATTATTTAATTAATTCCTGGTACTCATTTCTGTTAGAGACTGAGTAAACCCCAGGGCCTAGTGCGGCTGGAAGGATTAGGTCAACTGAAAAATATCCGATGACCTCATCGGGACTTAAACCCGCCAACAAAACTTTCAACGCACTAAACGGAGTTATATCGCAGAAGACAAATCTTGCTAGTCACTGCTATGGGAGCTTCCAAATCACACACTGATTACACACAGCTTTCCAATCGGGAAGAAAATGGATTTCTATTTCGAATTTACTGCGTTATAATAATCTTCCCAAGAACGATTTTTTTTTTCAAGGATTAAGCAGATGAAATTCAGTTGAAGCACCCTATGGTCTTGGCTGCCGGACAACCGTTGAAGAGCTGCGGGCCAGGTGACTACGAATGGTACAACGTATGACAAAGTACGCAACGGGCAGCGGCATACCGTCGCCAGAAATAACCATCTCAATAAAGCACAGCGGTTTCTATATACATCACCGGGTTCAACACCAAGAATTTCGCGTTGTGCTCACGCAGTGAATTCAAGGTTTTCATAAGATTTTCATAAAAAGCAGCGATTATTCCCCCAATCTACATTATACGGAGGTCTTTGTAATGGAGATGTTCGGTTTGTATACGGCAGGAATTGGGTTAACAACAGACAACACTACTTGAGCAGGCCACATGCACATATTGGTGTCTTCATTATCGTTTCAATTGGACGAAACGTCATGGCATACCGAATAACGTACCGGCATTTCAACGAACTGTAATAACTCCATCACCGTACTCATACCTGACTATTCCACGCAGTCACAAGGCAATGAGTTTCACATGAAGAAGACTTGAAATTCTTACAGCCGGAAGTTTTGAGATCACTCTTATATCCTACAGATGGAGGAAACGATTTCCTCCCTAAAATGGTGACCCCTTTCTCCCAAACCACACGGCGTCACATCCCAGAAGAATGTAATTGTAATTCTGTCACTAGTACACTAATAATTGAATATTTTTTCTTGCTAAATTTTGGTGGGGGGAACATATCCATAAAGCACCAAACAATTCTTTGAACGTAAATAAGGCGTCGGTTCTAATTTAAGGATGAGCATAATTTTCACTCATGATTGCCTAAATACTTATGAACACCGTTACATGTAAAGGGGTGACTGACTGGTGTAGCACTACAAATGAACGTTGCAGAAACATGGATTAGAAGACAACAGCATCCGTGATACGACGCATTTCGGTTAAACTGATTCTCCGAAACTCTACGTTTTATCGGATATAATTGTATATGCGCAGTACAGCCTAAATACGAAAACGTGGGCATCTGAAGTAAGGCTACAGATTCGCGAAGTTCAGCTTGGCAACTGATTCTATGTCTTATATTAATCCTTTGAAGCCTCAAGTTTCCGTAAATAATGTTAAAAAATTCAGTTCCTGCTTCACGAAAAACGAATTTCGTCTCCATTCAAAAGACAAACAAGTTAACGCTGTTTAGGGAAATAATTTCAGTTTATTGCGATAATCAATTCTAACACATTAATTCACTGTTTGGGCAAAACAGCGCGTTTGAATGTTAAAAACAGGTGGTGCTTTAAACGGTTAACAGAGTAACACATATACGACGTAGCTCAAACTATATTTTGTCCAAGTTTTAAAAGGAAAACCGGCAAAGTACCCTCGTCTTTCATCAGCAAACTGGAGATCCAGGACGTTAAATTTCAGAGTCCCCGTGAAACCCTATTCTAAGGCGGGTATTCCAGAAATATTTATGCACTGTTGAAAAGCGTTACTATAACAATCAATGGCCCAACAACAAACGGTTATTTAAGAACTGCGTGTACTAAAATGTAATTTATGGAATTGCTAAAACATGAAACGTGACGTAACTGGAACAAAATTAGTAAGAAAGCCCCGTTCAAGTTACAGAAATGAAAACCAAACTAATTCGAAGCGAAAATGCCCTATACAACTTCGCACAATCACAATTCTCAGAGATGACATCTCTAAACAAGATTATTATACACACGCATAGACAAAAATGTTGAGAAAAATATTAGTTTCCCTTAAAGTGCAAAACTCACACGCAACACATACAGACACACAAAAAAACAAACAAACGGAAAAATCAGGTAAGATGACATAATACATTAAACCGAAGAAAACAGAAGACAATGTACTTACCTGGGATCTTGGATCTTAAGACTTCACGAAGCCATCATTGAGAAATGATAAAAAGTTTTCAGATGAACAGCACATCTTATTCGAGATGTCATCTGTCTTATATCTCACTGCACTTTTGATATAAGCAAGACCAAACAGGAACAGTTCCCGCAAGCAATTGAACACCTTGACTACGCAGCCTGAGATGTATCTAACCTCTTCAACATACAGCTCCGCTTCCAGCGTCTGACTGATCACTACTGACCACACAGTGGAGAGGAAAGAGAGAGAAAGAGAGAGAGAGAGGACGGATCATGCGATGCGCTGTCCGCAGTGGGCGACAGGTAACAGATCCGCAGCTACCAACATTACAAAGAAAAAGTTCACTGAGGAAACGCCCACTCTACTCGAAGTAGATTGTCTTGTTTAGCACTGTCGGAGGTCGGAAGTTGATGTCTAGTCACCAGTATGCATGAACACATCAAAATTATGTTAATAGAGAAACGTAATCCCCCAACACTTAGTGATTATGAAAGGCCGCGCCATAGTTCAAGCGGTTGGTCGCTGGCTTCCCACCGCGGCAGCCCGGGTTCGATCCCGAGTCTGGTCAAGTGGGATTTGTGGTGGACAAAGTGGCAATTGGGAGTGTTTTCTCCGAGTACTTCTGTTTCCCCTGCCAATCTTCATTCCAAAAAATTCTCCATCATCATAATCACCCGGGCAGGCTGTAATAGCCCATCAGTGGCCGCCGTGCCGAGCGGACCCAGTTGGACTCCACCCCCCACTAAGGGAATTAAAAAAAATGAGTGGTTATGAAATGATCCCCATGCTTTAATATCAATATTAAAAACACTACATTTTACCCAGACAGTGTATTTACGCGTTTCATGTGTTTCTCACAATAAACAGCGATTGTTCCCTGAGTAAAGTAAGTAAGTAAAGGTATCCCTGTAACAGGCCGTGGAGGCTCATAGGGTTGTGAGAAGTTGAGGCTCTCACATTTTCTAGACAATCTGTTCACAGATGGCAGTGAGGTTGTCAGCCTTAAGCGCCGACCGCCCTTTAACCCCAGGAATATTCCTGGTACTCTTTTCTCTTAGAGGCTGAGCCGACCCCAGGACCATAGTGCGGCTGGAAGGATTAGGTCAATTGAAAAATCCAGAAACCTCATCGGGATTCGTTCCCGCGACCTTCCAGTTTGTAGCATAGTGCCTCAACCAACTACGCTACCGCGTGCCCCGCGATTGTTCCCTAAACAGCATCAAACTGTTGGCCCTGAAAGTTACACTGGATGCAGAAACTGTTAACATACAAACCTGTCAGCTATGCATGTCAAAATTGGCGAACAGATGCAGCAAATTTTATATAACCAACTCCATGCAGCAGAAGCTGAGAAAATGTTAGAGACCACCACTAGACCCTTTCGTACATAAAATAATTCTTATTAGATCTGAAGTTCTCACAGTAGTCATCGTGAAATGTACCATCATCTGGGATCTGACACTGTGTAGTACAGTAGAAGTCCCCAGACGTTTCGGAAATGTACTGCCTCCATCGTCAGGGTCAGGGTTATGCTAATCAAGCAATGAGCAAGCTTGCTGTTTGTTTCTTGCTCAACAGTATATCTTCTCCGTGAAAATGGAAGTAGAACGTTCCTTCGAAACACCGGTAAATTTCTACCAGATTAAAAAAATGTCAGGTCTGATAAAACAACGCTCTTCACGCGCATCTAGGTCTACGCTCTCCTAGCCTTATCGTTAAGATCCATGTTAATATTATTATTTCATCTATGAGAAGGCTTTTCAAGATGGGGCATCTCTTTAGGTTTTCCGGTGTTTTATGGCCCATGACAACGCTCACTGATCTCTTGTCGCGCTCTTCAAATATTGCTTTGTCTGAAAGTTGATTCGTGTTCGTACATTTCCTGGCAATTTCCCCTGGAACTCCAAGCCTGAACACGTTTTGCACAAAACGTTCCGCTTAGACGATTTCTTAAAACTGTGATGCGTTTTATGATAGGGTTCCAAAACTTTAGAAAATTGTGCAGTAAGTTAGGTAAAGTTTCCTTGTGCTTAACTAATTAATCGCTACGCTGTGAAGACATATGGGGGAGTGGATATATAGACCCACGTTTCCTTGACCTCGGCATTAGTTGGAGGCGAGTGGTCAGCTTCACGTCCTGTCCACTTTACCCCTGGGGAAAGAACCCCTGATACCCATTGGATAGGAGGCCTGGTGGAACCCGTAACCGTCTGGATGAAGTGGAAAGGTGAAAAATGTTGACCCTACAGGGACTCGAACTTCGATCCATCGGCCGTTCAGTCTGTAGCCAGCCGCTGTCCCCGACTCAACGCTAGAGAAGTTTACGTTTCGAAACCCACGTTACTGCTGCTGGACTGTGACACATTATCTTACAAATGTTAATTTACGGACTCGCTACTGAAGGTTCTGAGGTTTCATAAGAAAACAAAAGAGATACAATACCACTTCTGCGACCCTACTGCCTGAAGTTTGTGGAATTTGTACTAAAGTTTCGAAAAATTCTTGCGTCCGTCGTCAAAGTTATTTCTCTACTCTGAAAACAGCAGCAGTAAATTTCACCGAAATAAATTGGTACATATCTACTACACTACACGGCGCCACGTCCTCAGTTCTCACAAAATTACATGGGCCAACTTCTTAAAGAACTGGGCTACTGTCACGCGGAATTTCAACCTCTCTCATGTTGCAAATATCATTAAGATTGTCAGAAGGCCGTGCCATAGCTCAAGCGGTTAGTCGCTGGCTTCCAACCGCAGCGACCCGGGTTCGATCCCGGGTGTGGTCAAGTGGGATTTGTGGTGGACAAAGTGGTACTGGGGCACGATTTCTCCGAGTACTTCGGTTTCTCCTGTCAATCTTCATGCCACCAATTGCTCCACAATCCCCCTCACCTATCATCTGGGGCTGGTACAATAGGCCAGAAGTGGCCGCAGTACAAGGGACTTAGTCCCACCCCATTAGCAATAAAAAAAAAAGATTGTCAGAAATCGAGAAGGATGAGAGGGACGAGGAACGTAGCACGCATGTAAGAGATAAGATATGCATCTGTAGAGTTCGAGGTTCTCACAGCCGTGGTCATGACGAGTTCTCTCTCCTGGGATCTATAGGACGTTGAAAGGCAACGGATGTTTCGGAGGAATACATCGCTTGAAACTTCCTGCTGCTTGCTAACTGTTGGACGCTGGTTTCTTGCTTGATTTATTCTTCGATTCTTAAAATGGAGGCGAAACGTTCCTCCTCGGTTGACTTTAAACGTACTATATTGCGTTATATCCCAGAAAATATAACTCTTCAGAAATTGATTTAAAACGAGATCTCTCTCGGAAAACCTGGACATAGATGGAAATGTATTCTAATGTTCAAAGTGGATCTTAAAAAAAAGGGGGGGAAGAGTATGGCCTGGATTCATCTGGCTCAGGAAAATGGCGGTCACTTTTTAACAGTGTAATAAATTTAAGCCTTGCGACGAGCTGCTCACCCGCCCAAGGAGCCCTACCGAATGTGTAAGCTCTAGAAAAACCGAAGTGAACGGAGAAGTTCATGGAGGTAGGCCTAGGCCCAGTGGGGCTGTAGTGCCAAGGAAAAAAAAATTTAAGGCTCTCATAAAAGAGTTTTTTGATCACTTTCTCAAGGGGAATTCTATTCCTTGGTGTTGGTATTTTTCAGTGGCGCTAGTCATCTCATTACCAGGATTAAAGAAGTGATCAGTTATCAGCCAAGTTGTAGGCAACATCGCGGAAACGAGAGGTGGCCGGAGTAGTGACTCTCACGATCAGACAAGTACATCGGATAGTGCATCCCGTGATGGACAGGACACGTGAGGAGTGGGTCTGCGCGGGCAGCCAGTGTCCCACTCTCGAAAACATTCTCTGATTTGCGGTTGCTTTTTGTTCATTTTGCGACGCTTTTAGTATCTAGATGTTACAGTGACGAATGGCAGCACGTTTTGGTGGCCTAATACGGGTACTCCGGCTGTACACGCCTGCAAGGAATATCACCAAAATACCTAGCCCGGATATCCGGTGTCCCGGCCGGAATTCGAACCGAATTACTGCCTTCAGCGCTAGGTTACGCCAATTCGCTCTGTATGATTCATGACAAAATTATGTAGTTTTCGACAATTTCGATCACCATGTTTCTTTTATTTAAAACACAACGTTTCGGAGACTGGTTATATCTGCATCTTCAGGTAAAACCTACTCAGTTGGGTCCAATCGATAGTCCAATCTTCGAACCAGATAGGGAACAACTCTATCGATTGGACCCAACTGAGTATTCCAAAATGTCAATAATTGGGTAAGGGTGAAGATGGAGGTATCATATCCTTTCGAAACCTAGTCACATGAGAGATGTGAGTAATACTCTACTGTATACTGCTCAGTGGAACACGAGGGGGCTATATAGGAAGGAATCTTCAGTCGGCGAAAGAACTGCTGACATGGCAAGTCGGGTATTAAGAAGACAGTGAAGTGGTGGAAAGGATTTGGCCGACGAAAGATAAACAAGGAGCTGCAAACCTTTCGGGACTACACCAGATACAATGACAGGCTTCAGAAAGCAGTTATGGCAATAATGCACTACCCTTGAACAGATGCAATGCATCTAAATTGTGTGTACCTCACACAAAAGGCAGAGCGTTTCCGTTACAAAGATCAGTTTGTTAACGCTGTTTAGGAAAGTAATCCCTATTCATTATGAGACTCATACGAAACACACCAACAAAATGTGCGGTTAAAAGGCATATAAATATATACAGGGTGTAAATAAATATATGTTACAATGCTCTGTGGTAGATAGATGGGTTCAATGTAATCATATTTTGTTGATATACCTATGTTAGGGAACGCTTTGTTTACACGCTATAGGCTCTGAAATGTGAAGAAGGACGCCCGTACCACTTACCTCTGTGGCTTACTGGGGACATTTACCTAACATATCTCCAAGAGATCTTACCCGAGCTGCGGTTCCAGCATGATGGCGCCCCGGCACACTGCACTAATGCCGTTGTGAGTATTTGGATGAAACCTTTGGTATCAGATGGATTGGACATGGAGGGCCAAAAACTTGGCCCTCTCACTCCCCTGACTGACTCCACTGGATTTCTTTCTCTGGGAGTACACGCAAAGCCTGGTGTACGGGACTCCAGTGGAGACACAACATGACCTTGAGGCAAGAATTGCAGTAGCAGCTGTAACCATCCGGGAAATGCCGGGACTC